CCTGCTTTCTCCACAAATGCAAATTCCTCTGTCCACGCAGCCTGGAATGCACGGTAATCATCGTCTTTTTTTCTTTTCGCCATCTTTTCCGTTACAAGGATTGAAGCGGATAAACTAGTTGGCTATCTGATCAAATGGATTCACTTCACCTTTACAATGACCCGTGACATGCTCGCGAGCCATTGGTTCCCGACCCGACCCACGGGTCACGGGTCACGGGACCCGTGACCCGTGAAATTTATCTTCAAAACTAATTTCTGTTTACTTTCAAATTACACAGTATTATTAAGCAATATCACAAGTATTTTAAAATCAGTTCCAAACTGATTTTTTTATTATTATTATTTTTTTTTTCAACTCAAAATTGTCAGGGAGCCATATGCCATATCCATATATGGCTCGCGAGCCATAGGTTCCCAACCGCTGGCCTAGACCAACCGTCACCCGTGGCTCGCCCTGATTGGCCATTGGCCAATCAGGGCAGCACCGCAGTGGTTGTGACACTCACGTCTCGTAGTAAGAAGTGGCTGGGTTCGATTCCTGGTTCAGGCACCCTTCTGTGTGGAGTTTGTGTTTTCTGATGAGGAAAATAAGAATAGGCTTTTACCCCTTCTGGAGTTGTGTTAAGATGTTCAAACACCAAATAGGCATCCAGTCTGCATAAACCACGCACACTTGTGGGAAAACATGCAAACAAACATGCTCTGAAAATAATGTGTGCGTTGCCTTTGGCCTACACCAGAGACAGCCTTCTTCATGGCCTTGTCTCACCATCAGTGCTAGTAGACTTGAGAACGACAAAAGGCGAACAGCCCAAAGACAATGCTAGTGTCAAAGTATTAATAGCTCTGGTTGAGCAGTTCTATCGATGGGACCTTTTTGTCCTCCTGTTCTGCATGGGTTTCCTCCCAGGATCTCCGGTTTCCTCCCATAGCTTAGATAACACTGTGTAACACAATTTTTGTCCCTGGGTAGTAAGTGTTATTTTGTAATTGCTTATGCCTAAGAAGTATAGAAAATGGCTATTATTCCCCTCAAAATTTGTTTTGTGACCAGGACAGTGATATTTTGAAATATACCTATTTTGAATGAAAAAATGGGCGAATTTGTGTATTTCGTTCAAATAAAGTCAGAAAAAAAACATATGAATCAAAATTAACATGTATTCATACTAAAGTAATATAAAAATGACTACAAAAGATTTAGAAGTGAGACGTTTTTTGAGACGATTATACTGTAAATAACTCACGAATCAGCCCCCAAATGTAGTCTCCCATCATGTTATCGTTATACTGTCCTTGGCAGTGGCATCCAAAGTCCAGTATATCCTGGTGGAAGCGCTTGCCTTGCTCCTCCGAGTACGCTCCCATGTTCACTTTGAATTTATTAAGATGAGCATCAAGGATATGGACTTTGAGGGACATCCTACAGCCCATTGTGCCGTAGTTTTTCACCAGAGTCTCAACCAGCTCGACATAGTTTTCGGCCTTGTGATTGCCCAGGAAGCCCCGAACCACTGCGACAAAGCTGTTCCAAGCCGCTTTCTCCTTACTAGTGAGCTTCTTGGGGAATTCATTGCACTCCAGGATCTTCTTTATCTGTGGTCCGACGAAGACACCGGCTTTGACCTTTGCCTCGGACAGCTTAGGGAAGAAGTCTTGAAGGTACTTGAAGGCTGCTGACTCCTTATCTACAGCTCTGACAAATTGTTTCATAAGGCCCAATTTGATGTGCAGTGGTGGCATCAGCACCTTCCGGGGGTCCACCAGTGGCTCTCACTTGACATTGTTCCTCCCCACAGAGAACTCAGTCCGACGTGGTGAATCCCGCCTGTGGTAGTGCGCCTTGATGTCCCTGCTGTCCCAAAGGCAAAGATAGCAGGGGAACTTGGTAAAACCGCCTTGGAGACCCATCAGGAATGCCACCATTTTGAAGTCTCCGATGACCTCCCAGCCGTATTCGTCATACTTCAAGGCGTCCAGCAAGGTCTTGATGCTGTTGTAATCCTCTTTGAGGTGCACCGAGTGAGCCAGGGGAAGAGACGGTTACTTGTTACCATTATGGAGCAGCACGGCTTTGAGGCTGCTGAGCTGCTACTCATTCTGGTTACAGGTGATTCCGATTGCCTTGAACAGACTGGTCACATTGTGGCAGAAGCAGAGCTCATCTTTACGGGTGAAGAAGCTGGAAAAAGGTTGGTGAAGCTTCCTCTAATCTGCGACTTGCACACCTGCATCCAACAAGTTCCACTGCTTGAGCCTAAGTGTCAAAAGCTCGGCATTGGACTTGGTGAGACCAAGATCTCTGATCAAGGTCTTTTTGGTTGGGGTAGTATGGGTTTCTCTCCTCAGCTCCACCTCGGAAATTGTTACCTGGATTTACGTCTTCCTCGCTCTCTGACTTGCTGCTTTCTTCTCAAGACGGCTGCTCTCTCTCCGGAGGAGTGGGTACGGGGAGCTCATGGCAGTGTGGCACTGGGGTGATGGATGAAGGAAGGTCCGGATACGTGATAGCAGGTGCATTCTTGCCAGTCTGACGTTTGGAAGGGTCCACCATGCAGATGTAGCAGTTGCTTGAGTGGTCCGTGGGTTCCTGCCAAATTCTTGGGATAGCGAACTTTATGGCTCTCTTTTCCCCTCTTTACCATCCTACAAAAATACATTTATTTCACCCATGACTAATGTGTAAGAGATTCTTGCAACATTTTTCATATATATGTTTTCAATAACATTTAAAATAGTAAAACATTTTAAACTTAAATACTTTTACGATTTTAAACATTTTAACAAATTTTATAACATAAAATTCCGAGCAACAATTGTTTATCTTACCTTCCAGAGTCTTTTTTGCATTGTTCGCAGGTGAAATGAGGTGCCCAGGGTTTGTGTTGATCCTCGACAGGCATGCCGAAATATGCCTTGTACACACCTTAGCAGATGCTTCCTCAGAGTACTCTTGTCTTGATATATTGACCGCAGACATCGCAAAATGCGTCTGCCGGATGCTTGCAGCCTCTTGATGACATCTAAAAAAAATGCAGATATGAATCCACATAGGCAGCTGGAACTAAACTGAACTGGTGGGCTTAAGGCCCCTGTATTTATACTACAATTTATATTACTGGAAAGTTTTAGAATGTTCTCGAAGTTACTCCAAGTTTACTCAGCACTGAATCGATCTGGAATGTTCTGGAAAATAGGTAAGTTTCTAAATATTACTGTCCTGGTCACAAAAGCAAAGTTTGTGGGGAATAATAGCCATTTTCCGTCCTTTTGAGGTATAAGCAATTAGGAAATAACACTAACTACCCAAGGCCAAACTTCCCTATGCTGAAAAATTTCCTGTAAATGACTCAATTGGGATGACACACTGCAGCAGCAACAGCATCATCATCGGCCCCTTCTGCGAAAACTTGCACGAACCCTGCTAACGAAGACGCTCAAGACTCGGCAAAGTTTTCTAGGGTAAACAAATGTAATTCTGATAATTTGGAAACAACTTATCAGATTGCCCCTCCATTTCTAATGATGGCCCTCAGCCATCAGTGCCTGGCCTACTGTTGTCCCCTTCTTTTGGAAAATAGTATTCATAATAGAGATTTTTTTTTGGGTTAAACCCACCACCACATTTATATATTTACGCGATCTAACCCAAAAAACCTGTTATGGATGATATTGGTCGCGAAAGCCTACGTATTAAACCAAAATAGTATTGGCTCCAAATGCACTCACTCCGCGATTCATTTTTATGCCGAATATTTTTATTATTCCGCTTATTTTCCTAGGAAAATCTCACTGGGTTTGTCCTGCCAAGTTTGTGAGGGCGGGGTGGGGGGGTGATGTTTCTGCTGTTTGTCTGATCCCAAGTGAGCCATTTGCGTTACCTCTGCACTTGCCAGCCGGCCGGCCCTGAGGCATGACACGTCGTACAGCAGCTGCGTCTGTCAATGAATCCCATTCACAATTCCAACTGGATTTGAGTTAGAGGATGCCAGCAGTCTCTCACCTCCTGCTTGATCAACGCAGGCAGGCGAGAGGTATCCATATCCTTTGTGAGCTCCCAGTCTGGCTGTGAAACTGAGCCCACGTGCAATATCACCAATCGCTCATGTTTACCTGCAAATTTCTCGATTGGGAAGCGCAACGCAATTGTCTCCCCCGACTGCGAAACCACTGCAGACTGTTCAACGTAGCGCCTTCGTGACAGCCCTGCACCACACGAACGCCAAACAATAATAATCATGCCGACTTGTAACGTGCCGTTGCCGCACAGTATTTACTCGCTCTCAACAAGAGAGAACGACTCATCAGAATTAGAATATGTATTTATACTGGAGGAATCTGATGAGCTATGAAGCTCTTTTTCACGGATGTTCAGTAGAGACGGGGAGGAACCACAGACGATTGAAAAGGCAGCAGCTAGGTGGTGAGGTGGTCCCAAATTTTCCTCCCCCAAGCTCTACAGTCCTCTATATATAATTAACGTGTTATTGGCCAATTAATGAGTGTTTATGCATGTAGGAGGAAACGGGGGCACCTGGAGAAAAGCCACACATGTAAGGGGGCAACACTGTATTCCGTACACAGGGGAGAGATGGAGATTAAGCTGCACTTTGCTGTACTGCCTTCTCCTGGCGAGCCAAGGTACGGTTCCTCCACACCCACGGGAAGGGAGTTTCACAACATCTGTGCAGTGATCCACCAAAACCTGCACTGCTGCCTCCACGCCGTTGGATCCCAGGCCACGTGCAGCATAGACACCGCCACCGCCGCTCGGCTCGTACCGTACTCGTGATTCGACTAGAATGCGTTCAGCAAGAGGGGCTCCCTCCCTTTCACGTGACCTTAAAATCATGGGTTCTTGAATGGAATCTTTCCCCCAGATTATGAGCGTTCATCAAGTCACAAACCTCCCGCGTCGCTCGCCTGCGGCTCCTGCAGGCTCCGGCGTCGTGAGGGCGTGCGCGTGACTGGCCTGCATGTTGTGCGATGTCCCTGCAGATGAGGGCTACCAGAAGCTGGCGTTGGAGACGATGGAGGAGCTCGACTGGTGCCTGGACCAGCTGGAGGCCGTGCAGACGCACCGCTCTGTCAGCGAGATGGCCTCCAACAAGGTGCCCTCCGAACCCAGCACCGCCGGGAAGCAGCATCACCAGAGTTCCTGCATCACCACTAGCAGCAGCATCATCACCCCTAGCATCATAGCCAGCAACATCACCGCCAGAAGCAACATCAACATTGATACAGTTAACATCACCAGAGCCATCGGCACCGGCACGAGATGAACCGTCAATATACCAGTTCCATCTACACGGCAACCATCGGCGTGGGCGCCCGTGTCTGTGAGAGAGGACTCGTGCAGTGCGTGCGTGTGTGTGTGCGCGCTCGCGTGTATGTGGGGAGCGGTGGCAGAGAGGTTAGCACACTGTGCTACGAACCTGGCGACCTAGGTTCGATTCCCGCTCAAGGGTAACACCAGTGACGATCAGTGGCGGCTCCTGCAAAATCTCTCAGGGGGGGCAAATGTCTGGATGATTGATAAGGATAAGGTCCACCCATGCAATGAATAAATTAACAGCTTAAGCATGTAAAGGCAACTTCACTTCTTTAATATTAATGAAAAATAAAGTGACTCTTACAATACATCTTGTTTGTTTATATACTCACTATTAAAACAAACCACTCAAGTTTATTTTATTAAAGATTCCACTAGGTGGCGATAAATTATATTGTTGGATGAAACGTGCTTACGTATGATGACGTTAGCACGTATGATGACGTAAGCACGTTAGTGCATGCCCTCCCGGAAGCCATAGAGAATGCATTGCAGCGCCCCCGTTCGAAAAAAAATATCTTTGAATGTAAGTCTATGGGAACACTCGGGGTGATTCTCAGCCGTAGTGAAATCGCCCAAAAAGAGGCGGTACTCCACAGAACGTGACATGACGCTGATTGGACTATATCCAGAGGCTGACAGTGACGGCTAGCGTGACTCTGTGGTTGAATGACATTGGTGGTGCGTCGCCCAATCGCCCTAATGAAGAAACCGCCCCTGGTGACGATTATATAAGAGCCGATTCTGGGCCTCCCCTAAGTCGACTCAACCTCAAATGAGTACCTGGTGCGGTGTGTAAACATCACCACAAGGGGAACAAAGCCGGCCAGGCGTAGTGCTGGCCACCCGCCCCCTCGTGTGCTGGTCTTCACAGGTGCTCGCTAGCAGCGCTTGCCCCAACAGTCTGTTAAGGCTACACGGGGAGAGGTCTTTGTACGCGGTGAAAATTGGCACTGAAGCATTGAGGTGAACTCGGCTACAAACGAGTGGAGTGGCTTGGAGACCACGGCTGCTCTGCATGGCGCTGGTTCCCGTGAGCAGCGCCAGCACCCACGTTTCCACCGCCTTTTTGACAGCCGTGTGTGGGTGTGGGGAGAGCTCGGTCACAGCTGCCCGGTGAGGTGAGCTTCAGAATTATTTAGTTTAACCTCCCCTAGGTCGACTCAGCCTCAAATCAGTACCTGGTGCGGTGTGTAAACATTGCCACTAGGGAGACAAAGGCGGTCGGGTGTGGTGCTAGCCACCCCCCCCCCCCTCGTGTACCGTTCCGGCCTTCATAGGTGCTCGCTAACAGCATTTGCCCCTACAGTCTGTTAAGGCTATACAGGGGATCTTTGTCTTTGTCTTTGCAGTTCAAGCGAATGCTGAACCGGGAGCTGAGTCACCTGTCGGAGATGAGTCGCTCGGGGAACCAGGTCTCCGAGTTCATATCCAGCACCTTTATGGGTACGCCGCCCAGCGCCTTGCACGGGCCCCCCCACGGGTCCCCCCACGGGCCCCCACACGAACCCCCACCCACCCCCTCACGTGATTAGCACTTGCCTCAACAGTCTGTCGCAGGCTATACAGGGGATCTTCGCCATTGGCGTGCAAGTTGGTGCTACTCCGGTGTGTGCACGCACGAGCGTGGGGGGGGGAGTTCTCTCCGTGACGCGCCATGCCGCCGCTTCTTGCAGACAAGCAGCACGACATGGAGGTGCCCTCAGCCGGTCACAAGGAGAAGGAGCGCCAGCGGCGCCCCCTCGCGTCGGGGGGCGGCGTGGCGATGGTGGGGGGGGCGGCCCCCGCCGTGCCGTCGCAGCTCGCGGCCGGCGTGTCGCACATCAGCGGGGTGCAGCGCTTGCTGCACGGCGCTGCGCTGCTGCAGAGGGCGAGCATCCCGCGTTACGGGGTGCCCACCCAGCACGAGGAGCTGCTCGCCAAGGTGAGCCCCGTCTCGACCCCCGCCACCCACACGGCCGCCCTCGCCACCACCGCCACTATCACCGTCCTCGCCGCCACCCACACGGCCGTCCGCACCACCACCACCACCACTATGCTCACGGCCATTACTACCACCACCACTGCCACCACCCACACGGCCGTTCTCACCATCGCCACCACGCACACAACCCATCATCTGTACAAACCCTCACTAGTGAACTGGCAGGTACACATGCGCTGGCTGGGTCACATAACCTGCGTGCCCAGTCGCTGCATGCCTTAACTTACCCAGTGGCCGGATGGAGGTGGTTCAAGAGTTGCGGTGCAGGCTAGAGGGGAGATGACCAGATGTGGAACGGGAGGTGGGAGGTCTTGCCGAGCAACAGCTGGTAGCAGTAGCGTCCTCGTCGGTGTCAGCCCTCATGAAGGAGGCCGTGAATTTGGTGTCTGGGCAGCTGCTGCCCTCTGGCACAACAGGAGGCAAGAGCATCGATGCTCACACCATCGAGGTGACAAAGTGGGGGAGAAGTCTCCTCCCTACTCTGTTAACCCACAATACTGAGGTTGTCTCATGGCCTCCTCCCTGTGAGCCTCCAACACACTACATGGTGTCATTACGCACATTGCCTGGTACAGGTGTCGGGGCGAGGTCACCGCCACTTTGTGGTAAACGGTGGCTCTGCGCTGCTGCTGTTGCAATGGTGGATTTGGCGTGGATTTGGCGGCGATGATGATGTTGATTCCATTCCATGATGCGCTTTCTCAGGAGCTGGAGGACATCAACAAATGGGGCATCAACATCTTCCGCATCGCCGAGCTGTCCAACAACCGGCCACTCACCGTGCTCATGTACACCATTTTCCAGGTGTGTGCACACGCTCGTCACATTGCAGCGCTGCTGCCAACGTCCAGGCACCGTTCACCGCGGTCGCCTTTACAGACAACGGAACCATGTCCTGTTCGGACCGAAGCTGCGGGTCACACCGTAGACCTTATCTCAACGTTGTTGAGGGACCTTCCCACCCAGGTGGTGCATGGAAAGGCCCGGTTCCTCTCAGATTGGCGGGCAAGGATGTAAGGGGGGGGGGGGGGGGGGTGGGGCAGTCGAGCCGTTGTGTGGGGAGCCACCACAGCAGTGGATCGCACCGCTAAGGAGCAGAGGGAACCTGGGTGGTGCCAAAGGGACGTTCGGTGCTGCAGGGCCCACCCAGCAGCAGCAGCAGCTCCCTGGCGCCGGCCCTGTGCACGCCCTGGGCCCAGCGGCGGGGTTGGCGATGCCCCAGAAGGCGAGATGCTCTCTTACGATGCGGTGGGGTTCCTGCGGGAGGCAGTGAGTGGGTTTTTATGAGCCCAGTGTATGTGTGTATGGTGAACTTCTTTCACACCGTACATAGCCAACCGTGCTAATCGGAGGTGTGATGTTTGCAGGAGCGAGAGCTGCTCAAGACGTTCCAGATCCCGGCGGACACGTTCGTCACATACATGATGACGCTGGAGGACCACTACCATGCCGGCGTGGCCTACCACAACAGCCTGCACGCCGCCGACGTGGCGCAGTCCACGCACGTGCTGCTTGCGTCGCCCGCGCTCGACGTGAGACGCCTCCACGAACGCGCGCTCACCCGCTTGCTCGCCCGCTTGCTCGCCCGCTCGCCCTCTCACAGATTCACTCGCACCTTCATACACCCGCTCGATCGCTCGCTCGCTCACTCTCCCGCTTGTTCACACACACACGCCACTCACCCATTCGTGCCTTCACACATTCATTCACTCACACACACATTTACTGCTCGCTGACATCTCCTCTCCCTAACATGCAGCCCTATTCACGCCTGTGAGATACACTTATGGGAGAAAACCAGAGAACCTTAGTGGGGGGCGGTAGCAACGGTGGTGGCGGTGTGTGTTGCGGTTCGTGGCGGTAGTATAGCGGTTAGGGCGCTGCGCTACGAACCCAGCGACCCAGGTTCAATTCCTGCTCACGGCCAACACCAGTAACGATTATCTGAACCGGTCTTGGGCCTCCTCTAGGTCGACTCAGTCGCAAATGAGTACCTGGTGCGGTGTGTAAACATCGCCACTGGGGAGACAAAGGCAGTCGGGCATAGTACTGAGCATAGCCTGGCACACGTGCTGTGGTGACACCACTGCCACTTAGTAGTGAATGCCGGTTATTGTTGTTGGTAGTGGCGGTGTTTGTGGCAGGGAGTGTGGTAGCGGTGGTGAGTGTGGTAGTGGCGTTGTGTGTGGTGTTGTATGTGGAGGGTCTTAATATATAATTTTATTGATTCTCGTAAGCTCATGTCTCGGGGTTTTCTTCAATCAATTATTGGGCCTTCTCCACAACGGTCACCAGATTCATAGATCCGTCCAGCAATACAGGCTTCTTCAAGCAATATGACTCATGAAACAGAAATACCACTCGGACACTAAGTACACGACAAATCTGAGTATTTAATAGATCAAAGCATCAACTCGTGTCATAATCACGTGAACTCTGCATCATTATTCTTCTTCAGGATACATGAAAAACATGCGACGGGCCGAAGCAACCATACGAGCCAATATATGATAATGAAAAATATGAATGTCTAGGTGTATAATCGGCTAACCTATGAGCCCTCTAAAGTGTACTCCCCCCCCCTCCCCCCTTTTTTAGTGATGTGATTAAGTGATGTTATTATTAAATGAGATCTGTTATAAGGCAACCATTAAGATGCTCCCTCCGTGAGCGAGCAGCAATACCTCCTTCGCACAGGTGATGTTAAGGCAGCAGTCTCTCAGTCTCTCGCCGCTCTTGGCTTGCAATCATCCAAACAGTCTGCAGCTGGCCACGCCTCTGTATGCACTGTCTCGAGGCTGCCAGCGAGAAGTTCGCTCCTTCAGTGTGTGTGCTGCATCGGAGGCCCAATAGCTGACGAGGCTCGCAGTTGCGACCACTGCTCGTGCCCATGCTGGCGTACAGCAGATGCCCGTCATTCCGGCCGGCAGAGCCCCTCGCGTTGGCCTCGGTGTCAGACACGAAGGTTTCTGCACCACCCTCAGACCTTTCTCCTCTCAGGCCACGAATCAGACTCGGTACACATCCAACAGTGGCGTGAGTGTGGTAGTGGCGGTGAGTGTGGTAGTCGCGGTGTGGGCGGTGTGGTCTCCGCCGTGACGTTTTGCTCCGCTGCTGCGTTGTGGTGGCGACAGCAGGCTGTGTTCACGGACCTTGAGATCCTGGCGGCCATCTTCGCAAGCGCCATTCACGATGTCGACCACCCTGGCGTCTCCAACCAGTTCCTCATCAGCACCAGTGGGTGGCGCTCACCCACGCACACTCGTATGTGTGCGAGTGTGTTTGTGTGTGTGTGGGGAGCGATAGTGTAGCGGTTAGCGTGCTGCGCTAAGAACCTGGCGACACGGGTTTAATTCCCGCTCACAGCCAACACCAGTGACGATTATCTGAACCGGCCCTAGGCCTCCCCTAGGTCGACTCAGCCTCAAATGAGTACCTGGTGTGGTGTGTAAACATCACCACTAGGGAGACAAAGGCGGTTGGGCGTCGTGCTGGCCACCCACCCCCTAGTGTACCGTTGCGGCCTTCATAGGTGCTTGCTAACAGCACTTGCCTTTACAGTCTGCTAAGGCTATATGGGGGATCTTTTGTCTTTTGTGGGGAGCGGTAGTGTAACGGTTAGCACGCTGCCCTACGACCCCGGCGTCCTGAGTTCGATTCCCGCTCACAGTCAACACCAGTGACTATCATTTGAACCGGTCCTGGGCCTCTTCTCGGTCGACTCAGCCTCAAATGAGTACCTGGTGCGGTGTGTGAACATCACCACTGGGGAGATAAAGGTGGCCGGGCGTGGTGCTGGCCACTCACCCCCTCGTGTGCCGTTGCCGGCCTTCAGAGGTGCTTGCTAACAGCACTTGCCCCAACAGTCTATACAGGATATACGAGGGATCTTTGTTTGCGTGTGTGCGTGCGTACGAATTTGCGAGCGTGAATGTGAATGTGCGCGCGCCTCTGCTTGTGCCTCTGCTCGACCAGACTCGGAGCTGGCGCTGATGTACAATGACGAGTCGGTGCTGGAGAACCACCACCTGGCCGTGGGCTTCAAGCTGCTGCAGGAGGACAACTGCGACATCTTCCAGAACCTGGGCAAGAAGCAGCGGCAGACGCTGCGCAAGATGGTCATCGACATGGTGACACGCGCGCAACACTCGCCAATACTTGCATGTACAGTTACACCAAGCTCGGCAGTGACATGTGCTTGTCACTGCCGATGCTGTTGATGCCAACACACCACACTATCGCTATCTTCCATCTGCCACATTCCAGCATCCAACCATCAAGGTCTGCTTTTACAGTTTCCCGCCATCTGCTTGGTGGCCTCTGGGTGCCACTCTAATCCCCATCCCGTCTCGGTGACGATCTGCCCTCCTCCGCCACCTTGCACATGAGTCCCACCCATCACAACCTCCTCTCTCCTCCTCGTTACCTCGACAACACATCCTCGTTACATAATTTTTAGAACGTTCTTTCCTGATCGTGCCATTAAATTACCAGCAACTTGCAGCTATATTTAAAAGACAGGAGGTTATTTTCCAATTCATTTATTGCCTGCATTTGGGAGTCACGGTGTATGCAACTTCTTCTCCAGTTGTTGCTTAGGTCAACCGTAAGCGGTGGTTCCCATGAATCCGTATCTGGTGTCAGATTCACCTGATGTACTTCAGGTTTTTTCAGGCCTAGTTGGGGGTTCATGATGATGGGAATCTTGTGTTAGTGCAGTCGTACCTGAATAAAGTTTAAAGAATTAACTTTAATCAATGCTGCGGGAACGTCACATTTGTCCCAATTGCTTTAATAACCAGACTCTCTTACCCACGCAATGATACAGTCAAAAACGCCCCTCTTGTTAATTTCAAAAGGTTTACCTCTCTGCAGTTGCTGCGTCACCCGCTCTCACACACACACGCACCCCCGCCCCCATCCTACCACCCACTATGAACACCTGCGCTGGCTCGAGCCTCGTAGGCTGTGCAGGCCCTCTTGGGGTGTGAGTGCTGTCGTAATTGTGTGAGGAGTTAGCGGAAGCTGTGAGGAGCAATACCGAGCGCTCCCAGTGGGGCACTGCCGCCATGCAAGGTCGTGCTGCCTGCATCGTGCGGCGCTCGCTTGCTCGATCGTCTCACGCGCCATCACGTTTGTTTTTTGGCGACGAGCATTGGATGCAGCGCGGGTTTGCGGAGAGACACAGCCCGCCAGTAGCGCGTCCATCACTTGCTTTCAGAGGCTGATGGTGAATGTTGCGGGGGTTTTGCCGTAAACTTCTACGCGCCGTCTGCTTTGCGCTGGACCTTATAGGTGCCCCGACGTCATGCGAAACGAGTCGGCCTCTGTGTATCGGCGTCGTGGTCCACATTTAATAAGTAATATTAAAAAAAAATTGTAAACACGCTTTAATGACATGTACCCTACTCGTAATGGCAAAACTCCACGACTCCAGGAAGTGGCCGCAAAGCTTCCCATAACGTAAGGGACCGTGGTGATTTACAGCCAACGTCAGTTGAGCATGGACAATTAGACTCAAGCCGAAACATAACATATAAAAATGAATGTTTAAAAAAACTTTTTTTTTTATATATATATAGAATATAGTATTGTCATCAGTATGACATAAGTATACCAAGTTTGCAGTCGATATCACATTGGGAAGTGGGTTAAAATTGAGTTACAAGATTTGAGGATACGACAACGACAACAACAGCGTGAGTTAAATAAAAGCGTGTAAAAAGATTACTCATTCGGGATCGTACATATCAGCAAGCATCGCCCGCTACTGGCAGACGCGTGGCCTGCTTGCAGGCCAGGTGCTGAGTCAACATGTACTGCTCAGGGACAGCTGCCTCTGAGTGCCCTTTGAATGTACGCAGTGAGATGTGAAGCAAGGCGCTTTGAGTTGCAAAGGCATTTAATCAAGTGTGGTATGAAGCAAATATAGAATTAAAGGATGACTTATTTTGTGCAGTAGCGCCTCAGGATCTGTATCTGAATGGACTTGGCCACAGATGATAGCCCTGGCATCATCAGGACTGGCCTCTGCTGTAGATGTCTGTGAATTACGTGAATGTGCATCTGATGACAACCGCCTTCCCATTCACAATGGTCGAGGAGCGATGCTTCCGTCAATGAGTATAGCATACGACAGCTAAAAACACATTTTTTATTTTATTATTACACTTCTTTACTCAGAAAAGCCTTTCACATTGTGTTGTCCCAATGTACGTGTCACCCCAATTTAGAAATTGGCAGTGTCATGTTTCAGCATTGGGATGTTTTGGCCACTACTCCTTAAATTGTGTAGATTTTTTGCTACAGGAGGAGGAAACCGAAGAACCCGGAGGAAACCCATGTAGAATAGTGGGAGATCATACAAACTCCACACAGAAAGGTGCCCGGGGTCAGGAAATCGAACCCAGACCAGGCACGACCATTATCACTGTGCGACGCTGCCACCCATGCGTTTGACATTGTGGAGCCCGAAGCTGATGCAGTTGCCACTCGGCTGCGCCCGTTGCCCATTGGCGACCGTCGGCTGCTGTTGCCGTGACGCCTGCGCGTGTGTGCGAACGCAGGTCCTGGCCACGGACATGTCGAAGCACATGAATCTTCTGGGCGACCTCAAAACAACCGTGGAGACGAAGAAGGTGACGTCTTCTGGTGTCCTGCTGCTCGACAATTACACGGACCGTATACAGGTACTGCGCCTGCCACGTACACGTCTACACCTGCCGTAAACCTCTCTGTACGTGCCACATACACAAACGAAGACAAAGTTCCCCCGTACTGCCTCAACAGACTGTTGGGGCAAGTGCTGTTAGAAAGTAGCACCTATGAAGGCGGGCATGACACACAGAAGAGGTGGAAGTCCCAGCCGCCGTTGTCTCCCCAATGGCAATATTTACACCGCACCAGGTACTCATTTGAGGCTAAGTCGACCTCAGGGAGGCCCAGGAGCGGTTTAGATAATTGTCACTGGTGTTTGGCCGTGAGCTGGAATCGAACTCGGGTCGCCGGGTTCATAGCGCAGTGCGCTAATTACTACACTACTGCTCCCACATATACATCTCTGCACACGCCATACGCATCTCTACGTGCCAAATACATCTCTGCACGTGCCACATACACATCTACACTCGTCATACACCTATACACACACCTCATACATGTCTATGGTGGCTTGTCCGATGCTCTCCCTCCCTCTCTCGCTTTTTCAAGGTGTTGCAGAATATGGTTCACTGTGCCGACCTAAGCAACCCCACGAAGCCCCTGGGTCTTTACCGCCAGTGGACGGAGCGCATCATGGAGGAGTTCTTCCAGCAGGGCGACCGGGAGCGCGAGCGCGGCATCGACATCAGCCCCATGTGCGACCGCCACTCGGCCTCCGTGGAGAAGTCGCAGGTTGGAGAGCGCGGCGCCCGCGGCACGGGCCACGGATTTGCAACGAGGGCCCACGATGATGAGGCGTGCGGGACGTTATACTAAAACTAAACTATCTTTATTTTACCAGTTAAGGCCTACTGAGCTATATAACTCTTTATCAGAAGCGACCTGGTCACAAATGATCACTCAACGAAGTGGAAATGTATAGTGGGCCAAATACTCTAAACACGTGTTTCTAAATGTGGAGGGAAAAACCGGAGGACCCGGAGATAAAATCCACGTGACCACGGGGAGAGAGAGAACACGCAAACTACACATGTATAGAAGGCGTTAGGGTCGGGATCGAACCCACGACCTCCTGTATACGTTCTCCCTTTCGTGGCCAGTCCCGTCTTTTGTGGGGACCTGGTGATGATGCCCCCAAGTCGCCAGTGCCGATATTTCACGGAGCCAACGGGTGTGCGGGGGGGGGTGTTTGGTTGTGGGCGAGACTCACGATGCCTGCTTCTGCCGCCCGGCGGCAGCGTCGGGAAAAGAAAAGTAATTGCACATACAGAACGACCAGAGTCCCCCCCATTTTTTCCACATAAGTTTCCAAACATCGAACTGGGCCATGCCCACCTTGTCCCCGGTCACAAACGTCAAAACAGTGGGCGACGTGCAGCGGATAAACACATGGCTGTGGGAGTGTCAAACTGTTAATTTGCTTAGCCTATTTCTTACATTTATCAATATTAACATTGTTACTTGGTTTTGCAAACTGGGATTTAGTCTTTGAACTTCCACTGAACACAAACTATTGAGTTGAGGAAGCTGGTACCTACAATGCATCTCAATCCACAATACACTTCACTATTTTAGAATTAATTATTATAACAATAAGGCTTTGAGCTGCTTTGGAAAATTAAGGTAGGGCGCTACTGTAATTTAACAATCACCACAATTATTGGCCAAAATAAAAGAAACTTGTTTGGCGATGCCGCGTTTCTGCAGCTCCGTTTTGGAGCTCCAAGTCCCTAAAAATCCCTTGCCCAATAATATGAATGTTGCTCCCTAGCGGCCTGCCTTCACTGGGGGCTGTATCCCCATGGGGGTACAAAACCAATACGCTTTCTCTTTGTTTAAACAAATGCCACTTAGACATCTGGAAGGCCATCGGGACGATCCGTGAGCCCCCATTTGCCGTGTTTATTGCCATTTACACTGGCCATATTTTGAAAGTCAGGCAGTCCGGCATGGTGGTAATTTCAGCTGAGAATCCACCAGGCGGAGGTGGGGTTGGTGACTTTAGCAGAAGTGAAACCTGTGAGGGTCCCTAGCCAGGGGCCGATACCCCGGCTGTGCGCACGCTCTGCCGCCCTCGTGTCCGTGGGCTTTCGCGGTTGACTCGCAATTCCTCCTTCGTCAGCCGTCCGCAATCGTCCCCGAACAAAAAGGCCGTGAAGTAGCAAGTGCCGGGACTCGCCGAGACCTTCTTGGGTATACGAAGAATTGTAGTCATCGCGTAGAAGCTAGAAAAAAAAACTGACAGGAAAATCAAAATAGAAAACGCGCAAGACTTGCGCGTGCGATAACTGTGCCTCTGAATGTTGCCGTTTCATCTTAAATGGGAATGAGATAAGGAAATCACATTTCTTAATCGGTTAGGGCCTGGTATTTGAGCGGGCCATACCATTCCACCATGGGTTGGGGAAGGCGGGAAGCATAGGAGCGCAGTACAACGGTGTAGTTTTCTGAACTGCTTGCAGCGTAACCCCGATATTACAGCACCTACAAACGAGTACGCACGTGATTTGTAAGCACTCTTTCCAGCTGTGCGCGGATGAATCCTGGGTGGGTTATCTGGACCACACGGCCTTGCGCACGCAGCAGACCGCAGTGCCCTTGCCCGCACTTCTCTAACCCTGTCTGCCGTCCCCACCCCGGCCAGGTGGGCTTCATCGACTACATCGTGCACCCGCTATGGGAGACGTGGGCCGACCTGGTGCAGCCTGACGCCCAGGAGATGCTGGACACGCTAGAGGAGAACCGCGACTTCTACCAGAGCACCATCCCCAGCAGCCCGTCGCCTCCGCCCGATGAGGGCACGCCCACGCCGCACGGCCTGAGCCCCTCGCCGTCTCCCGGCTGCCACGGGGGAGACGCCGGCAGCGGCGGCGCCGACGTTGACGCCACCGATGCCGGATCCGCCAATGCGCATGGCGCGTCTGGCCTGCGCCCGCCCGAGTCGCATTTCCACTTCGAGCTCACGCTGGAGGACGAGGCGGGGCCCGCGGCCATGCGTTCCAAGGGCCCGTCGGCCTTCGACCCCGACGCCGGCCGACTGGTCGGCAGCGGTGTTGGCTGCTGCTGCCTGCAGAGCGGACGAAGGTGTCGCTACGGTGATGGAGAGCACGGCTGCGGACACGAAAATTGCCTTGCCCTGGTTCCCAGAGTGGATGACAATTACCGCGATGATAACGAAGATGACGACGATGACGACGACGACGATGCACGGACGTTACGGGCGCAGGATTCTGAGTCGCATGACGTGGGATTCGGGGATTCGGACGATGGGTCATTTAACCACGGCTGAAATCCGCATGCGGCCCGAGCAACACAAGACTTTACGGAAAAAATAATAGTGAAATTTTCTTTTTTTCCACGAGCTTTTCATTTGCACTTTGGGAAAAATGTTGCCCCCAGTGAATGTTACGGATAAATTAAGACGATACTCTGTCGTGGTGCAACTGCAAAACGCATCGACGCAGGGGTACGGGGGGGGGGGGGGGGAGACGAGGCAACGGCACGGGGGAGTGGCGACCGCGCCGCTATCCAAACGCTTCACCCTCACCGCACGGGATGCAGCGCGGCCATGGGGCGCCACACAGCAATACGAGTCGAGCACCTCCCTATCGGCGCTTGCCACCGACGCGGAACACGGAGCGCTCTGCTCGACTCCTTCCCACTCCCCCCCCCCCCCCCACCGGAACGACTCGCGTAAAATGCTGGATCTGCCTCCCGCCCCCGCCTTTCCCATGGGCCTCCCTTCAAGCACCGCGTTTGCCTGGCGCAGCACGTTCACGCGGGTGGCAGCAGCGGAAAGCATTTCTCGGCCTGACGCACGCGCACGGCCAACGGGCCGGGCGTCACCTCCGCAAAACCAGCCTCACCAGTTTTGGACTAGCGAGGAACCCCACTTGCAATTTAGCCTAAACGGGAGCCCGCGGTGCCCATCCGTGGGCTACTGCCGGCATACTCTTCTGGCCTCTCCCGGGATTGGCCCAACCGATTTGAGGTACGGCAGACGGGTCCGATCGATGCAAGCGGCGCTTAACGGTCCGGAGAGTGTTTTACCGCTGCCCTCCACTTGCCTTGGCCTGGTCTTGCAGACCGCTAGCAAACGCTGACATTGTACCTTTAAAAAAAAAGAATCCAGCCTGAGGGAAGCAGCGCACAAATCCGGCAGCAACACACACGGAGCCCCGTCAGCGGAGCGGAGGAGACGAAAATCAAAAGAAGCGGAAACATCGCCACACAACAAAATATTTCTGGGTGTTAGGTTTATGAGAGCCAGGTGTTTGCGAGCACTCGTGTACCGATAAATACTCCTCTACTTGCACGAATAACTGTCACAGTGAACGCACCTCATAATAACCCAGCCCCGGTGAGCGTGCAAAGTGAGTCGATGACTATAGAAGAGCATAGAATATGGTATAATAATATTAATAAGTTGCCTAACATGTTAACCCTGCAGAAATATTTTGTTCGATGGTAAAATGTTTTATCTTCCGTAACTTAATCTCATTTCAATGAAGGAGATGAACAGAGAAACTGTGATTGCCTGAATCTCAAGGTTAAAGGGTCACTGAGGGTTAAAGGTCACTTGAGGTCGTGGTGAACACGCCTCGTGACATATTTTCACGCGTTAGTTATTTTCTAATTAATATTTTTTAATGTTATTTTAATGTTAAACGTATAATTTAAATAAAGATTTAAATGCTGTTGTGTATCGTAAAAAAACTCCAAAAATGTACATAGGGTACATACATAAAGTACTTAATAGGGTAACATGCACACACACATATATATAAAGAGACTATATATGTATTGTATAGATTATCATAGCGTGTATCTACGGTACGAGTTAGCCTCTTGAGAGTGGACACAGTGAACCGTGCTGATGTAGTCACTTTCCCAGTGCTTCCTGTTGTAGCTGTGGGTGCATGCGAGGGCGTGTGCTGGGGGACCCTGCGATTGGGTCGTCTCTGAGCTCTTTGGCCGACCACGGTGTAACTCTGAAGCGCGACGGTGGGGCTTGCGCATGCTGAACGAACGCGGGGCATGACGCGTAGCGACCGACCCGCACCCCATTCCTGCGGCACGCTTTGCTTTCGTTCCTCCGCGGCCGGGTCGCAGTCCTGCCCCCAGGCCTGCTGCTCTTGTCCGCCTGGGCGGGTAAACCGGGCACGAGGAAGGTGAGGTCGTCTCAGCCAGGTCGTAGTGGTGGTGGTGGAAGTTGTGGCGATGGTGCTCATTGTGATCTAGTCACTCGGATGTAGGGATGGTGAGTTGCACAGAGATGGAGCCATCACATTGGTGGGCTCTGCAGGACAGTGCTTGCGGGCGCAGCACACCAAGTAATTTGCTCGCTCACTGCTGTGCCATTTGATATTTAATCCGTCCTAACTATTGGTTTCTTTGGGCCATCTGGTTTGCTCCCACATTCGAAAAGTGCTCGCATAAACAATTCACCAAGCAATCCTAAACGAGTTCCCCGCTGAGAGCAAGTGTTATTTCCGCGAAGGCTTTTCGGGGTCAATGTAGAAACTGGTTAGGTACCAGCGCCTTGGCACTTAACATTAATGTCATCAGCAAGAAACTGAGATTAGAATGAACATCGGGGTCATTTAAACAGTATGTTTTGACTTGGAGCTTGTGAGTTGGAGCACCGTTTAAGTAGAGAATTGATGATGCCGGGAGACATCTCGGTGGGTAGCGCCACAGGGTCTCCTCGTCGGCTCATCACCACCGCCGCCGCCATAACCTCCCTCTGTGTGGCCCGTAGCATCAGCGCCATCCGGTGTTGGGGGGAAAAGTCAACAGGAGTTGTGCAATAGTCAATCTGGTCCCTTGGCGTAGGCTTGTGGAATGCCCTCCACTGGCTCTGAGCTACCACAGGAGATGAGCACGAACCTCCTTTGAACGCAAGGGCCCCGACTCGCATTTATTCCAGTTTGGTGAAATAATCGACGACGCCAGGGTCATAGTCATGTCGCATTGGAAATTGGCGATACCAGAAGTAACATTCTCCACGAGTCTCTGCACAAATACCGACTCCGTCTGAATGTTTGAAAAGTTAAGAAAACGTCCCGAATTCCTGGCGTCTCACTGCACCACATGGTGCGGGGAAGGCCACTCTCAACGTGCAGTACTTCAAGTGGACGTGGCGTGACATGGTGATTGGGTTGGCTCTGTGGCGCGAGTGGCTGCTGTTCTGATGATTTGATTGTTAATCTTGTGAGAGATTTGCACAGGAGGCTGGGTCACTCTAATAATTGGCACTAAACCTGGGACCGGTGTTGTTTAATTCAACCGAAAATTAGAAATCAGCTGCCAAAATAATGATTCATGGTTATTTGGATCATGTTTCAACGCACATCCACGTCACAGTTTAGGTTGTTCTGGTTGTGTTGATCCGGTAGTGGTGGTGGTGGTGGAGGGTCTTAGGGCAGATGTTTGACCAAACCATCACCTCCGAACGATCCTGTTCATCGCAGGATTGTAAATCTTTAGCCCCGTGGTCGTGTAAAGATTGAATTCGACGCGACGTGATCCCAAAGGGACGCGGGCGGCCTCGTGGTCACCAGAGGGCTGACCCCCAAACATGCTGTCGGACGATGTTCCAACGACTTAGGCCAAACAACCGTGGAGCGGTTGCCACCATCTGGAAACAAACCGGGAGCCGAAATGGAAGCAGTTCGGAACAAAAACAAACAAGAACTGTAGCTGACAACCCGGAAACTAAATTTTATGCAAATCTCAACAAATTCACTGGCACGAGGAACAAAATATCGGAGGGTTTAAATGACGTTGGCGGAGAGAGTCGTCGGAGCGCACGACGCTGCCGTGTGGCGGCTCGGAGAAGCGGCTGTGCGGGTTCGCCGCAGGGCTTGTGGGAACGGAGTCGCACGTGGCCTCTGGAGCCGGCCTCCCCGGTGTGCAGCGCTCAGGGCAGGCGTCGCGGAATTCAAGAGGCTGATAGAGGGTACCGCTTACGAGAACGAGATTGAGTCTTCCGTGGGCAGAACGCCCCCCCGCCCCCCCCCGTGCCGTTTGGCTGGGTGTTCGGTTACCGCGCGTGTAACTGTGGAGCGTGTCGGCGCTGGTTTGAGTATCGGTGGTTGTGTATGCAAGTGAGAGTTGAAAAGGTGATTGCACGCGCGTGCGTACCTGTGGCGATGGTGGTTTGTGTCTGGGGTGGTTTTGTCTGAGTTTTGGGTGTGTTGCCTGCGCGCACGTACGCGTGTGTGTATTTGTTAGTGGGTGTGCAAGGGGTGATACGAGAGCGCAGTGTTCTGTGCCGTGCTCCCAGTGACCCAGGTTCATAAACTGCCCATGCACAACAGCAGTGATAAGTGATCTCGGAACCTGGCCTCGGCCCCCCTTTTGTCAAGTCGGTCTGAAATTAGTGGTGCAGTGTACCATCAAACCGTGGGGAAACAAAGGCGGAGTAATTATTGTTGACCCCATCAGTGCGCCCGCCGCCTTACAGCACTTCACCTACCACGTCTACCGGCGACACGGAGAGACCTGCGGTGTCAGCGCGAGTCTGTGTCATGGGCTCCTCGTGTGCGTGCGAGACTGTGAGCTGCGTGTGGCTGCAGTTGTCGGTGTCCGTTTGGGTGTGCACACGTGATTTGTGCAAGAGCGTTTTCAGTTCGTTTGCCTATATTCGTGTCCCATCTGTTGCGTGCGTTTTTGTCTGTCTCTGCAAGTGCGTGCGTGTGTGCATGTATGCGTGCATAAGTGTGCGTGTGCGCGTGAGTGTGCGCGAATGTATGTGTGCGAGCATGTGCGTGCGTGTGTGAGTGCGTGTGTGTGCGAGTCCCCGTGCGTGCGCAGTCTGACGCCACCACCCCAGAGTCCTCATGGCAGCGGCCACCACTTGGGGCAGAGTCCGAGAGCTGCGCGCGGATGCCGTCCCGTGCGAGTCGAGCAATTCGAGCGAGTTGTGCGCTGAGAGATGGAAACGCCACAATAACGATTCGCCGCGTTTAACTTCCCCTTAGAGAAGTAGGAGACGCAACTCAGTCGGTTGGAATGCACGGGGCTGTGTTTTTATTTGAATAAGTTGAGCAACGCGCCGTGTTCCCAAACGGAATTGTATCTACTGCAACGGCCCCCCCGGCACCGTGAACGACGCGATGTACAGCGGCCTCTTCGCTGCGCCGCTCGTCGGACGGTGCTCATCGTGCAGAGCTTTTGATTCAGAACTCATTTATTGCATCCTCAGTGCATTTATTAAATGATAAGGGCGGTTAGTTTACCCTGCTTGAGGAGAGGGACACGCGGTGTTTTGGCAGGACGCACACATTTGCATTGGCCTTCGAAATGGTCTAATGAGGGTATATTCCTGATAACGGCACTTAAGAAAATTACAGATGCATCTCTACCAACGTAATTTCGCCAGAGGAGAACCTGCAGAGGTGTCTGCACGACGTGGCCGTGTAATAACGGTGATGTTTCAGATCTTGGATTTTGTCCGCGATTGGTTACGGTGCCGCCACGGCTGCAGTTTGTGGCTGACGATGTCAGAGGATCGTCGATGATGTCAGTTCCACGGTGGACTTCGTGTTGAGACTCACCACTTCCTCTCTCTGTGCCCTGCGGTAGCGAAGCGGCCCGCTGCGAGAGATCCAACATCCGACTCGTTCCACGGTAGGGGTAACGGCACGCACAAGGTGCGCAGTGGCGCGCGTACGGCACATAAGCTCCTCGGCCTTGGCTAGACCACGAGCGCAAAATAACTGAGCACGTGGCCGTGTTATCGTATAGAGCCACCGACTCAAAAGAGTTGAGAAAATGTGGCCATCCCAATGGGGGGGCAGTGAAACAGACGGGTTCCCCATTGGGCTCCCAGGGCCATAGGCCAGTAGGGAGCACTGGTCTCCAGTTGGAACGGCCACACATGTTCTACGAGTCGGTGGTTCTAAAGGACAAGGTGGCCACCCGCTCAGTTCTTTTGAGCTGGTGGTCTGGATAAGGCTGATAGTTTTTTTGTACATGCATTGCTGAACACCTGCGTGTGTTGTTAAGTCTGCACTCACGTTCCTCTTGTAATGGGGTTTCCCGTCATATTTAGAGGCTCTAATTAAGTTGCGTGGCACACGGCAACTTGAGCTGGGAGGTGGGAGAAGCGTCTCACGTGGCCCTCTACAGTCCCCCCGCAGGGAGTGTCGCTGGCGTTTCAGAGACCGAATCTGTGCCCGACACTTGCCGTCCGTGAGCACTCCGCTCCTCCGATCGCGGTGCTCTCGATGGGCTGACGGACATGAAGGCCTGCCTCCAGCGAGAGGAAACGCCGCCACTCTCTCCTCTGCGAAATAGCCGTTCGAAAATCTGTCTCTCGCTCTCTCTCGCTGTCTCTCACTCTCTCTCTCACGCTGTCTCTCTCTGTCTCTCTCTCTGTCTCTCTCTCTGTCTCTCGCTCTCTCGCTGTCTCTCTCTCTGTCTCTGTCTCTCTCTCTGTCTATCTCTCTGTCTCTCTCTTACAATCGGCAAAGAGGGGGAAACTTGTCGGGAGCACACGACGTGTCGCCGCGCTCGCAGCCACGCATATGCCGTGCGCTCTTCAACCACGAGCCTTCGGCACGGCGCACGAGGATGATGGCGACGGCTCTAAAGTGTGAGGAATGTTGCGTAATGATTGAGCATGTCTATGAGAAATATTATTCAACAGCAATGGAGTATTTGAATAATTGACAAGTGTTTGTATTCCATCCGCATATTTAAATATGTTTTTACCAGCTCTGACCTGCGTACACTTTGCCTATTGATCCACTCGAGCTCTTTGAGAATTTATAAAAACCCTACGACATCGCAGTGGTCACGTCCCGTTTATTTTGCCGGGCCGACGCAACGGGGGCAGTCGGACCCGGGCGACGCGTCGCTGTGCGAGCCGCGCGTTGTGCCATCGACTCATCACGGTCAAACGTGACGGGACGGCCCACACTCGCCGTCTCCCACCCTTCACACAATTAAACCGGTGCGGACCCACGGTGTCCATGCCAACGTGTTTCATGATGAAATGCACCGGCAATTGGCGCTGCCATCACCACCAGCGTAACCGCACCACCGCCCTCCCGACGTGCGGCTCCGATCGACTCCTCGGCTCCGACTCGTCACGGTGGCGAGAGGGGCGCCACGGTGGCTAGGAGATGTTAACTACCTCGCCTGGTATGCAGGAGGTCGTGGGTTGGATCCCGACCCTGACTCCTGTAAATTTGGAGTTTGCTGTCTCTCTCCCCCCCCCCCCCCCCCCCCCGTGGTCACGTGGATTTTTCTCCAGTTCTCCGGTTTCTCTCCACATTTAGAATCAACGTCACAGTACGTTTGGAGAATTTGGCTGCTGCTATAAATGTCCACGTGATAAGCCACCACTTTGTTGAGCTTTCATTCGTGGCCAGGTCGCTTCTGAAAAAGAGCTGTGTAGCTCAGTAGTGGGCCTTACCTGGCAAAATAAATAAAAAAACACTCGAGTTGAACTCCCGGTCAGGGGTCAGCTCAACCCCCCCCCCCCCCCCCCCCGTGGGATCGAGAACCACGTTAGCAGATTGTGGCAGCGGTGTCCTCAGGGCTGTCCAGGCCGAGGTCCGGACGGCTAAAGCTGGGGGATAGAACCGGGAGTTGGCTCAGAGGCATCATCTCTATCCGGCTCAAACGAGCTTCCTAGGCGGTGCTCGTCTCCTGTTTACAGCCCTGAGCCAACAGTGGGAATTGCACATTGCTATGGCGGTGGGGTGGGCGAGTCTCCGCATAGGGCAACGAATGGTGGAGGATTGGGAGTTGGGAAGAGGGTTGTCAATGTCGGTCAAATTTGACTTCCAATCGCACAACGCACGCGGTGCTCTGCGTAGGCCGTACACCTCTTGAGAAGCGCGGCCACGAGGGCTGTGACTGCGCGGGGGGGACAGGGGAGGCGGGGCCCGGGGGGGCACAGGGTAGGGGGGCACAGGGTAGGGGGGAGTAGGGTAGGGGGGCACAGGGTAGGGGGTACAGGGTAGGGGGCACAGGGTAGGGGGGTACAGGGTAGGGGGGTACAGGGTAGGGGGGCACAGGGTAGGGGGGTACAGGGTAGGGGGGCACAGGGTAGGGGGGTACAGGGTAGGGGGACACAGGGTAGGGGGCACAGGGTAGGGGGGTACAGGGTAGGGGAGCTCAGATGCTGAGCACGCGCGACAGCTTGCGGTAGGCGCGGCTGCTGATGTCGAGGCGGCCCCGCTGCCGCGGCCGCGATGTGCACTCGTGCTCCTTGAGCTTGTTGTAGTAGCCCGAGAACTTGTTGTACAGGATGGAGATGGGCAGGCTGTTGAGGATGATGCCGAACGAGATGCAGCAGAAGGCGAACGCCTGGCCCAGCACTGTCTCCGGGTAGATATCGCCGTAGCCCACTTGCGAGATGCTCACCTGCGCCCCGCGGGGGTGGAGGAGGAGAAGGGGGGGTCGGAGACGCGGTCGCAGCGCTCGCCAGAGACGCGTCGGAATCTGACCCTGACCTGGGCTTCCCACGACGCTTGCTCGGCCAGGAAGGCGGTGGTGGCTACTGCGCGCCTCGCCCCCTACTCCGGCGCCGTTGTGGAGGCAGCAAATGTCGCGCAACTCCCTTTGCCGGCGCAGCACAAGAGCGGACTGATGTCGTCTGATGTCGTCTGCCCCTTCTGTGCGGGGCACACGAGGGCTGGCTGTGTGCTGGCACGCGCCAGTTGGCTCCGCGTGCCTCGGGTTTGCTCCCGCACGCATAAACCCTCTCACGAATCGGCTGAAAACAAATCGAGGAAATCAGAGCTTGGGCAATTTGTTGGCGCCGGCCCGCTTCTCTGGTCACTGCTCCCTTTCTCGCTGCGGTGTTGCAGGTTGACACGATTAGTGTCTGGTGCGTCCGAGCGCCTGCTGTGTTGGTTGTAGTTGCATGGCGGACGCGTCTGTCATGTGGCGCTCTGCGGGCAGAGTCCCTGAATACCAAACGCCTGATACCTGGTATCGTATATTAAAATAACAGGTGTGTAGCCGTGTGTCTCAGTGTGTCTCAGTGTCGCTGTGTGTCTCAGTGTCTCAGTGTGTCTCCGTATGTCCGCTGTGTGTCTCCATGCGTCTTCTAAGCACATCGTGAGAAGCTGGATGAAAGGCCGATGCGCTCAAAAATTTTACTGGTTTGATGCAATTGATTAACCAGAACTGACCTATATGCATCCGTATTGAACCAGCAGTTAACCCAAATTTAACATAACATGTGTTCAAAAGCCTGTTAACACGCACAATACTCGGGGTGGACAACGCGGCGATTCACATCCATTCTTAAACCCCGCGACACGCACACCGCACCGCACCGCGTACTTCGGGATAGGCGTTTCATCGTCTGTTGCGCCTTGCCGTTGTATTTGGCTCGCGTGGCTCCTGCAGCCACTGGAGGCGCGGGCATTCACCGCGACGTGAAGACGGTGGCCCGTCACGTGACTTTGTGACCCTGAATCGCGGTGACCCTTCGCGATTCGGGGCGCCGGGCGGGGGCGGGGGGGGGTCCACCACCACCGCCTTCCGTTTGTCTATCAATCTCAGGGCTCTCCTCCCAGTCGTCTTGGAACGTTGGACCACGTGCCAACGTTGGGCTGACGTTGGCCAGCGTGGTTTTTTTTTGCGGGCGCTCTCTCCTCTCCCTGGGGTCTGTCTAGCGGTTGGCGTGCCATGATACAAACCCGGCGATTCCCGCCCATGGCAAGCACCGATGACGATTATCTGAACCGGTCCTGTGCCTCCCCTAGGTAGACTCCGCCTCAAATGAGTACCTGGTGCGATGTGTAAACATTACCACTGGGGAGACAAAGGCGGTCGGGCGTGGTGCTGGTCACCCACCCTCTCGTGTTACCGTCCCGGCCTTCATTGGTGCTCGCTAACCGCACTTGCCTCAACAGCCTGTTAAAGGCTATAAGGGGGATCTTTGTCTCACCGCGGCCCACCACCACGAGCCGGGGATGCTGGTGAAGTTGGTGCCGGGCGAGTCGTGCTCTGCCGAGTGCACCAGCGCCGAGAAGATGAAGATGCCGATGGCGATGAAGAGGAAGAGGCAGCCGACCTGGTGGTAGCACTGGCGCAGCGTGAAACCGAACGCTCGCATCCCCGTTGAGTGGCGCGCCAGCTTGAGGATGCGGAAGATGCGCATGAGCCTCATGATGCGCAGCACCTGGCCCAGCTTGCCGACCTTCTCCACGGTGCGCACCTCCACGTCGAAGCGGTCGCTCACCACCTGCTCGAACATCACCTGCCGCGCGCACCGTCCCAGCGCCGTGGTCACCACCACCACCACAGCGATAGCCGTGAGGTCTCAAACTCGCAATGCGCAGCATCCGCTCGCTCTCGACGAGAGAGAGGGAGGGAGGACGACTCGGAGGCGCAAAGAGAAGGAGCCACAAGCAAGCGGGAAGGTAGCAGAAACCATTTAGTGAGCCGGCGACAAGTTCTACACCCCCAGCTCTGTGGTCCTCTATATATGAAGTTGTATCGGCCAATTATACATACAGATGGAACATCTGCACTGCCGTCTCCTGGCGAGCCAGGGCATGGCACCTTGACGCCCACAGGAAGGGAGTTTCACGACATTTGTACGGTGATCCACCAACCCTCGCTGCATACAAAGCACTCGATCACAGAGACCACGAGCAGCGTAGCCACCACCCGGCTATTATACTCATCATTCACTCCGGCTATGTTTGAGTTTCTGTTACAACGGTTCTATTCCGGTTGGAGCCCTCTTGGCCGTGCCTGGAACTCGGGCCGTGTCTGTGGCGAACATCGGACGACGGTTCACTGCCCCCATGCCACTCGTTGATGCAGAGCGGCAGCTCTCATTTTACACGGAGGTGGTTGAGCTTGGTAATTTCGTCAAGAGTAGCGTAGCGGTGTATCGCTGTGATGCCGCCTCCCCCGTATTTGTGAATCGGGCATTGAGCCGTGAGGATGTCCCACGGTTCTGTGTGGGTTGTTCAGAGTGGCGGTGTGCGGCTGGCGGTCGTGAGCGCCAAAAACCGGCCGCGTCGGGGCCCTCTGTCCACACATGGGCGTCACCGGTCGGACGATGTTGCTATGATTGCCCACAAAATCAATGGCGGTTATCATGTAATGACGATACTTGCGTTCAATACCGTAACGAAACATCTCGGAGGTTAGTGTTAGTTGTTTTGTCTCGTGGGGGGGCGGGGTGGGGGGGGACCCCTTTATGGCTTTATGGCAGCTGCCCCTGTGCGACACAAGCTGACTGAGCACAGACCTGCAAGTCAGTATTCGTCTGCCAGTATTTGTCTGCCAGTAGGGGCAAATTTTGACCGCGACGACCAGCACACAATTGCCCTACTGATATTAAAACGACGTCACAGGATCGTTAACGTCCACTGTGAAGCAAACGGCGCATCTGTCATTTTACGGTTAATATACTTGAAGTATTAACCAGGGTGGACTGCGGGATGCAAACCGCAAACATTCATATTTGTAGCCAGAGCCTTAAAATGATACTGCACTGGAGAGAGAGGTTGGTTTGGTTGGTTTGGTCGATGCTGTTTTTTGTATTTCCAATTATATTCCAATTGTGCTCTCAGGATCTTGTCTGGACAAGAACTCCTTTCCCTTCCGAACTGTCCGGGAACAGCTTCACAAGATGACATCACGCGACTCCATTTGAAGTGACTTAAGTAGCCCTTTTGTATCCGCACCAGGGTCGCACCTCTTAAATGCCCTGCTCAGAGTGTGTGCCGCGTGTCGAACTAATTCTGGAAGTTAGCTAATCAAGAGTGGGCGCAGTGGTAACACTCGTGCCTCACAGCAAGCAGGACCTGGGTTCGATTCCCGAATCGGGCGCCTTTCTGTGAGAGCGTGTGTATGTTCTCCCCCTGTCCTGCGTGGGTTTCCTCTGAAAGGGAGTGTTCAGACTCGACGTGGCTTTCCAGAGTAAATACAAATATATAATTTATCATTACAACAGAAACTGAACTTGGTGTGGCCAGCTGTCTGGAGGCTAATTCGGCTAATTCCCAGATGTGTCAAAGCAATGTCAAGGTCCAGAGCGTGGATCCGGTTTAGCCACCCGATCAAGTGCAGCAAGCTAATAGCATTAACCAAGGAAAGCCTCACGACTTTTTCAGTATTCTGCTCCTTAGAATGTTTAATTAGATTCCGTCTTCTTATCTTACTCCTCTTCGCCCCCTGTGGAGCATAAGGCCGCAACAAGCCTACGCCATGCCGGACGGTCTTGAGCAGCATTCTCTGCTTCACGCCAGGACACGGTCTTTAGTTTGAAATTGGGTTCTGTGAATGACGAGAAAACTCATCGCAATGGAAACTTGAATTCATGCTGGAAACAAAGTCGATTGAACAATGCACTCAATAATCCTAACCCTTATATCTAGACCACCAGCTCATTCGAACTAAATGTGTGGCTTGTTGGGATCATCACATTCTCTCAACTCTTTGAGGTGGTGGTTCTAAACGACGTGGCCACACGTTCAGCACTGTTGAGCTGGTGGTGTGGACAAGGCTGGGAGCTTTTGTACGTGAAACGCTGCACACCCGTGTGTTGTTACATCTTCGACATTGTTTGGTCGGTTCCCTCTCTGCTCTGTAGTATTCCAACCCACGTGCCCCCCAGGAAGAGATCACATCCACCCAATTGTACAGCATCGTGATGATGCTTTTACCTATGGTGGTGGCTTTGGAAGGCCTTAATCCAGCAGTGGATAGAATCATGGCTGGTGATTATTATTATGAGCATGACCATGTGATTGATAAGGCAAGTGCTGTTAGCGAGCACCTATGAAGGCCGGTACAGCACACTAGGGGTGGGTGGCCAGCACCACGCCCGGCCGCCTTTGTCTCCCCAGTGCTAGCGATGTTTACACACTGCGCCAGGTACTCATTTGAAGCTGAGTCGACCGAGAGTAGGAGCCGTGATGGATTCAGATAATCGTCGCTGGTGTTGTTGGGCGAGAGCGGGAATCGAACTCGGGCGGCCGGATTAATAGCGCGGCGCACTGCACTCGCGAAGCTCAGGACATTTGAATTTTGCGTGCGTGCGGTCAAGTCTCCAGTGGGTGATCCGTCAATCTCACGTCTCCTGCACGAGCTCAGAGCTTGCGCAGGCCGGGAGGGTAGGACAGTTGTTGTTACCCGGGAGGGTGACAACTGTTGACGTGGCACCCCCATTGAGGTTACGAAAGCCCAATCATTGCAATCCGCTCGCAGGCTCAAACGTAGCGCTTGCATGTGCTGCCACGCACCATGAGAAAAATGGGGGGGGGGGGGGCAGAATTGGCGTACGAAGTGGATGAATGCAACCGTTTAATTAATGTTTTTGTCGACAAAATTGCCATTCGAAAATCGCGGTCCGATCCGGTGGCCCTCATTAAAGGTGCCGATGCGACTGCCAACGAGACGACGGGCCTGGCGACACTCACCTGGATGTAGAAGGGGATGATGGCGATGACGTCGACGGCATTGAGGACGCTGCGCATGAAGCGCCTGAGGTTGGGCGTGCAGAGCAGCCGCAGCAGATACTCGGCGGTGAAGAAGGCGATGCACACGGTCTCCACGTGGTCGAGCGGCGTGGGATGGTTGCCCCACGCCGCCGCAGCCGCGCCGCCAGCTCCGCTTCCGAACAGTCCGTCGCTCATCGTGTTCAGGGTCATCGCCGCGATGGACAGCAGCAGGAACAGGGTGGACGTGACGGACACGAGCTTGGAGGCGAAGGAAGACAAGGGCTTCTCCGTGAGGGTCCAGAGGCCGCGGCGCACCTCGCCCATGCGCATCCCGTCGAAGCAATCGTCGCTCGTCTCGCTCTCCAGCTCGTCCTCGAGCTCTCGCTGGACCTTGAGGAAGTCCGAGATCTCGTCCTGCCGCTCCTCGAAGAGGATTCTGCAGCAGAGCTTGGCGTGACGGGGCCTGACGCCCCAGTACTCGAGCTCCTCGATGAAGTTGCGCGGGCACAGCGAGTCGCGCACCCACAGCGTGCCGGCGCTGTACCAGTTGAAGACGTGCGCGAACGCCAGCGGGTCGCGGTCGAAGAAGTACTCGCGCCGGCTCGGTGAGAAGTCGTCGCACAGGTCCAGGCGCCTCTCCTGCTCCGTGTGGCCGGCCAAGCGGCCCAGCCTGGTCCTCGGGTACTTGGTCACCGCGTGCCTGGGAATGCGAAATCGCTTCCCTCCCACGTTGATGCGGAGCAGCCTCCCACCGGGCCCCCTGCACGCGTCGGGAGCCGGGGGCGCGCTCACGTCCGCGGTGCGCCTCCTGGGAAGGGCGCCGCCGTCGTAAGTGACGCTCCTGCTGCTGCTGCTTCTGCCACTCCCACCTCCTCGGGTTTCATCTCCGCTGCCGTCTAGGGTGGGTCATGATAATACAGCACTTAATGCGAATAAGTCTTGCCACGTCTCGGGACTCATCAGAGGGCCGTGCTGTGTGGTTGCACGATGCTCACGTTAAAGTAGGAAAAAGCCCTGCGGATGTCCAACCCGTGATCTTCATGCAGCCCACCAGCCCCCACGTCCACAGCACTGGCTTGTAGCCACTCACCACCAAGCACCACCACGCACCACCACACACCACCACGCACACCAAGCACTACCACGCGCCACCACGCGCTACCACGCACCACCATGCACACCAAGCACCACCACGCACCACTACGCACCCCACGCACCACCAAGCACCACCACGCGCCACCACGCGCCACCACGCACCACCATGCACACCAAGCACCACCATGCTCCACCACGCACCACGCATCACGCACACCACGCGCCACCAAGCACCACCACGCGCCACCACGCGCCACCACGAACCACCACGACCACCACTACGCACACCACGCACCACCACGCACCACCACGCACACCACGCACCACCACGCACCACCAAGCACCACCACGCACAACCATGCACACCACGCACCACCACGCACCACTACGACCACCACGGACCACCAAGCACCACGACCACCAAGCACCACTATGCACCACCATGCACCACCACGCACCACCACGCACCACTACGACCACCGCGCACCACCAAGCACCACCAAGCACCACCACGCACCACCACGCACACCAAGCACACCACGCACCACCACGCATCACGCGCCACCACGCGCCACCACGCACCACCATGCACCACCATAACAACCGCCATTCGTCACTAAGTGGCGGTGACGTCTCCACGACACTTGTGCCAGGCTATGTGCACGTTGAGGCCACGTGAAGTGTCGAAGGCCAGCTGGCAGGTCACGGGACAGACCCAGCAGGTGCCACGGGTCGACTTACTGAGAAGACTGGCTGATGCACCACCTGTGCTCCCTACTGTGCCAACTTGCTGTGCTTTAGCCACCCGGCGCTTTGCTCGCTGTTGTGAGCGTCGCTACTCTGCCCTCCATTGTTGTAGGAGTGCGACTGCCTCCAACTGCCCAGGAGCGTCCTTCACGAGCCTCCTCCACAGAGAACGATCTTGATACCGCTGGTACCAGTCATCGGCAAGTCCACTCAGTTCCACATCCTCCTGTACCACATCACTCTATCTCTTCTCTAGCCCGTGCCGCGCCCGTTTAGCCCCCTCGATCCGGCCAAACAAAAACTGTTTAGGCATGCGGTGGCTGGGCATGCGGGCTACACGACCCAGACAACGCAGCCTTGCCTGTCGGAGGAGCTCACCGGTGGGACTTTATCCAGATCTTTCAAGGATTTGTGAGCTCATCACACAATCCAGCCTGGTTAAACCCAGGTTGGATCGTAGGCAGGCCAGCCTAAATGTTTCTAACCGGCGAAGTTGTTCCACTAGGGGGGTCCACGTTTTGCAAGCGTAGAGAAGAGAGGGAATGACTGTGGCCGAGAAGACCTGAAGCTTCGTGCTGAGCGACAGACCAGGCAGCTTACACACAGCGTTACACAACCAATGAAAATATAATTCCGCTCGACTGATTCGGAGTGATACCTGTGCTGTCAAACCGGAGCCGGTCATGAGCACACTGCCCAGGTATGGGAAGCTCTCTCCTCTTTCCACAACTGCCCCATCACCAATTGGGAGTTGTGGGGGTGGATTGTCCAATGGTACAAAATACCCAGGCAGGTGCTTAGTTTTGGTGGCGCTGATGGTAAGGCCCCACCTCTTAGTGGCAAGTTCCAGGTTCATCTGCAGCACCTCCAACTCCTCCTCTGAGTGAGCAGCAATTACCAGATCAACGGTATACATAATAGGGAACCATCCCTTGACCACACCCGGGCATCGATCAGCCTCCCATTGTATCTGTACCAGATGGAAATTCCTCCAGTACAGCAATTGAAGGCTTCACGAACTACGTGGTTGAAATAAATGTTAAATAATGTGGGAGCCAGAGGATATCCCTGTCGCACACCAAGGTGTACAGGGAATGGCTCCGACTCCCGGCCACGTAGTTTTACCCAGGCCCGCTCACCATCATGAAGGACCTTAATGATCGTGAGCAGAGAGTCAGGGACTCCGAAAGCACGAAGAACAACCCAGAGCCCAGGCCTACTGATGGTATCGTAGGCCTTGACCGGTCAATAAAGCAGAGATGTAGGTCTTGTTGAAATTCCGTACATCTCTGCTGTAGCAGACGGACAGAAAATATGGCATCTGTGCAGGACCGCCCTTTTCAAAACCTCATTGGGGCTCTGCAAGCCTGTCCTCAGCGTACCTAGCAAGGCGATGTTGAAAAATCCTTGCAAGGACCTTTCCCAGCACACTGAGGAATGAGATGCCCCTGTAGTTGTTACAGTCTGTGCGGTCCGCCTTCTTAAAAAGGGGGACCACCAGGGCATCCTTCCAATCCGGCAGAACCCGGCCAGTGGTCCAGACGTTGTTATGATGTCATGTAGGGCAGTCTGTGCACAAACGCCACCCTCCCTCAGCATTTCGCTTGGGAGATCATCTCTGCCAGGTGCCTTTCCTGGTCTCAGACTCTGGATCGCCTTCAGTACTTCCTCAACAGATGGCACCTCAGCCAGCCACTCACAGGGGGTGACTTCTTCCAATATTTGAGGCACCACAGCCTCCGCAGTGTCATCCCCACTTTGTCCCATGTTGTTTTCCAGGCTGAGAGATTTCCCCTCCCCCAGGACCTCACAGAAATGCTCAGCAAATCTGCAAACCTATTCCTGGGGGTCGGAGATTGGATCACCGTTCTTTCCCCTGATGATGGTAATAGGTATGGTGCTGCAGGTTACTTTGATGGAATTAAAGAGCGATTTGTGATCGCGGGCCATTGAGGCAGACTCCATCTCCTCAGCAACTCGCGACCACCACCCATCCTTGCAGCGCCTCACGGCTTTCTGAACCTCCGAGAGAAGGCATCCTCATTCTCTGACGTGGGATGCTGTAGCCGATGAGAGTGGGCCTGTCACTTTTTCTCAGCCAGCCTGAACACCTCCTGTCAGCCAGGATATCTGGGGAGGTCTGGACCGTTTGCAGCTGCATGAGCCACAGTCCTAAATCTCGCTCATTTCCCCTTGACATCAGGAGGAGTGGGTGACGATGCCAACCCCAGCCGTAAGCGATGATGAAATTCTCACTTGCAACTTTCATCAGCTAGCTGAGACCATGCCACTATGGGTTTGAATGAGGTCCTGGGTGTACACCCATCACCGGAGTGGAAGAATGGCAGGCGCATCTTACAGATGACAAGTCGATGGTCAGTGGGCAGATCAGCTCCACGGGAGGTCCTGGTGGCCCATGCCTTCCAATCACTCCAGACCAGGTGCCAGCATCATGACCAACTCGGGCATTGAAGTCATCCAACAAAATGACTATCTCGAGGGGCCACTTTAGCTAGCACCTGTGACAGGAGGTCATAGAACACACACCACCACGCACCGCCAAGCACCACCATGCACCACCACGCACCGCCAAGCACCACCATGCACACCACGCACCACCACGCACCACCACGCACCGCCAAGGCTTACGAGTACAATCTGATATAACAATACTTATTTACAACGCACCATTATTAATCAATTGAAGTCAAGTTCCACATTGATTTTGTTTAACCAGCCTGTGAGATCTCAAGAGACTTGGATGAGTCGCACTTGAATGAGTGACCTGGGTCACGAAATGACAAAAGCAAAAACGTAAAGAAACAAAATACGTACTGTGTAGCAATGAGCAAATATAATTCAGAGCAGAAAGAACCAGTCGTCGGGGAAGTCATCAGTAATGCTATGGGGATACTCGCTCCTACCATATGAATGTGGAAATCCCACCACTGGCTCAGGGCTATGAACGGAAGCTGAGCACCAATGCCTCGATACTCATTTGAGCAGGGGAATCGCTTTCGGTTGTTTTGACTCTCCGAGGCAGGCCTGTCGCCTGCTCCCCTCGTGAGAGTGAGACGTCACTCAGGAGGAGAGGGAACCTGGGTGGTGCCAACGGGACATTCGCTGGTGCCGATGTGCAGGGCACACGCCAGCACCGGCCCTGATCCCAAGTCTCACCTTCTCTCCCAGCGTCTTGGAGCTCATGATGACAATGACCGTGATGGTGGCCATGACCTTCACCATCATCTTCGGAGTCAGTCCCGTGCTCGCGATGACGACGATGATGACCACCACCACCCCCGCCACCATCATCGTCATCATTATGACCACCACCACCACAATCATCCTCGTCGGAGACGTAATAGTAGCTGCTCCTGCGCGGCTGTCCCGCGTGGGCGGCGCGCACGGACTCGAGGGAATCGCGGGACTCGTCCGAGTCGCTGCTGTCGCACCACAAGTACGCAAGCTCCTGCGCCGAGCTCCAGTGGCGGATGGAACTCTCCCGGGCAGCCTGCAGGTCGGACTTGCCCGTGACGACTTCCTGGCGGCCCAAGACGAACTCGCTGAAGCGTCTCTTCAGCATCTCCCTCACTGACTGACGACGAACGAGGCAGCCGTGGAAGGCGCAGACGGACGCGGAGACGGAGGGGCTGGGAGACTGACAGAGAGATGGGACGAGGCGGGGAGCAGCCGGAGGCTCCGAGGGTTGAGAGAGGCGATTGGCAGACAGAGAGAGGCAGATGAGACGGGGAGTGCTTTGGGCAACGCGTGTGGCTGAAGAGAGATGGATGAAGGGGGTATACGCTGGTGCAGCAATAGTATTTAAGGAAGAGCGATGTTTCAGGAGATATCTGGGAGAAGGATATCTGTACAACGGTTAATTGTACTGGAGAGGTGTGCAGTGGCTGATAGTATAGGAGATACCGTTGCACTAGAGATTCATTGGGAGAGATATAGTACAGCCTTGTGATAGGAGAGAGAGAGAGAGAGCGTTATAGAATGCGAGAGATACTACAGTGGAAGTGAGGAAGAGTGTAATAGACGTTGCAAGAGGTTTGCCAGAGGGTGCCTGGTAATCGAGATATGTGCACTCGCACAGAGAAGGGAGAGAGATGTAAAAGACGTTTGTCGGATAACAACAGCAGAGGTAACAGAGACTTCGGGTGTGAGGGGGGAGAGATGATGGACACAGGTGCGCGCACGGGAGCACAGAGACACAGAAGTATTAGAGACTTAGAAAGAGGCGAGATAATGAGGGCGGCTGAGGTTGGTGGGATGAGCGCAGAGATTATTCACTCGCCCCTCTCAAGGATCCTCTCGTGAAGGTGGCGCAGTGTCCGTGGAGGAATGCGACATCAACATAACTCTTGATGAAAAATAAAATTGGTGTTAAGATGTTCAAACACGGAATCAAATCTGCATTAACCACACATACCTGTGGAAAAACATGCAAACCGACATGCTCTGATAATGCGTGCATTGTCTTTGACACTGATTGGTGTACACCAGAGACAGACTTCTGTATGGCATTGTCTCATCGGTGTTAGACCAGAGGACGCCAAAAAGCCAACAGTATAGTTTGAATACTGCCAAAAAGGTCCCCTGAATATAACTACCGTTTTCGCTATTTTTATTTTACGTCGAGACCACTGAGCAATATCGCTCTATTTTCAGAAGCGACCTGACCATAAATGATAGCCCAACGCAGTAGCTCATCGCGTGGAAATGTATTGCAGCCAAATACTCTAAAACGCATGTTTCAAAATGTGGAGGAAAAACCCCGAGGACCTGGAGAAAGTCCCACGCGACCACGGGCAAAGAGACATGCAAACTACAAATATATAGCAGGCGTCAGGGTCGGGGTCGAACTTACGAACTCCTGTATACCAGGCGAGGTAGTTAACATCTCCTAGCCACCGTTGCGCCCCCAAATCAGTGCAGCATCTGCCACAGAGAAGCATCCGTTTTCACCATTGGCTGTTGATCTGCATTGGAACTCAGTGGCAGCGGTGCTGGCTCACATCTCAGAGACGGCCATTGTAAAGCCTCCGGAAGAGCGACTCGAATGTCGTCTCTCGACTCGAGTGTTGTCCTGCTCGTCTATGTAGTAGCGTCACTCGGGTTGGTGTCACCCCCCATGGACCGCCTCCCGTACCAGACCATACAGAATCCTTAGTCATGTGTTTTGTACTAATGTTACTCGTAAATCGTAATTCCCGTATATCACTGAATGTAATGGCAATAGTAGTGACGTAAACAACTCGCAAAATTAAAATTACACCTTTAAATTACAATATCATACGTACAGCCTAAATGTACATTTGCATAGTTTCATGTGGTTAAAGTGAAAATTCGATAAGAAAACAATAGAATTCGAAGTAAAAAAAACGTCGAAACATTTAAGAACTACATTAAATCAGATATATATTTGCAAGACAGTGATATTTTTCAAGAAAATGAAAAAAAATGAATTTAAGATTTAAGTTCTATTTCTAAACACGTATCAAGAAACATAGGATTCCCCCCCACTTCACGTTGTAAATTGTCAATTTCTCTATTTAGTTATCAAAGAGTTATATAATTAATAATTGTTCTACATGTAAGTTTATTTTCAATTTTAATCATAGAATAATATGTGATATAGTTGTAAATTTCTTAAATGTAATATTTCTTAGATTATATGAATACTAACAACAACATTGTTTTGTAAAATCTTTCTACATTGAATTAGAACATTATTAGTTACAACATTATTAGTAACTGAGCGGAAGCCTTTTTTATTTTTCTCTTTTTCCTTTAATTACGACATCAATCTCAAAAACGTTATTTATATAGGTTCACAAATACTAATTACCACAATATTGTAGCTAAAACACCAGAAAATTTGACAAAATCAGCGACGATAAAAACATGAGCAGCGACGAAAACAACAGCGCGTGCTTTGTAGCGCGTGCAGACGAAACATCGTGATTCGAAGCGTCATTGTAGTTTTTTTGTTTTTATTAATTTTAATAAAAAATTTTACCTACGTGACTTTACCGAAAAAACTAAGAGTATAATAATGACAGCTCTGACCGGAGCGCATAATAAGGTTAAAAAAGTAAATTAGCATAACGTTTTAGCGTTGTAGGTATATTGATATAGTACATGTAAGCTGGGCTTACGAAAAAAAATTGTTATAACTAACTACAGGGATATTATATTCTTTGTTGCTTTCGGTAAAGCCACGTAGATAGAGCTGCTGAGGCAGGAAAAAAATATTTGTTTAATTTTTGTATTACTATTTTTTCCTGCTTCAGCAGCTCTCCCGCTATATTTTTTCACCTGATGACGATTGCTTGTGTTGCGATCGAAACGTCGTGATATTTTTATTTAGCATTATGATTTTTCTATCTATGTGGCTTTACCGAAAGACCCAAAGAATATGAATTTCTGCAGTCACGAAAGCTTTAAATACAGGGATTTTTTTTTATTAAAAAAGAATACATTTCTTTTGAAACACTGCGCAAAAATGTTATAAACAGTCATTTTGGTTTCACCCCCTCTGATGGTGTCACCCGGTGTGGTCCGCACCCCTCGAGTGACGCCACTGCGTCTATGCTTTTGTGTTCTTTGGCCACTCTCTGTCCATCACGCAAAACCCGCTTACTGAGCTCTGTGGTACAAGTGTTTGTTTTTGTACAGAAAACCATTGCCGTGCCAGACGCCAGTATTTTAATGTAGGGATCAAATTCAACGCCAGTGTACTCTATTTAGCCTTTTTCCCGGTTTAGCATTGTTCTCAGTTAACAAAACAAATCAACACGTTCGGCAATAGCGCTGTTGCTTTAAAATAAACAAAAAATACCAACTAGGCGACGTTTGGGCAATGACCATTTTTCAGAGCACATAAATCAGCACCGATATCAATTGACCTGCTATGAAGAAGGGCCATTGCCTGTTTTATGTTTTCATTTTAAGGCCGCAGTGTTATTAACAAATGTGTTGAGGTTTTTGTTAGTTGTCCTTGTGCACCACTGCCAACACAGCATAATCTCCGAATAAATGGTTCTCTGTTTTAGTTGTTCTATTATAATTATTGAACCCAAAAAACGGGTGTAACGGTGGCGATACATTTCGCCGTGTGCACAACATACTCGGTCCATCCGCAACCTCTTGAGTACATCTTCCCAAAGTGGGGGCCGGTAAAAGTTACCCGGCTTCACTACCTTGCAGCGGTAGGGTATAATGGTCGGCAGCAGTGGGCGAATCAGTGAAGGAGGAGAAAGAGGAAGAAGGGAAGGGAGGATAACCGAACGGAACCTAAAAAAAGTAACATAAACGAGATGTCCGTATCCGCCGTTTTTTTCCTTTCCTCTTCCCCCCATGGGAGCAACGACTATCGGATTGCTTTGCTACGGTGGTTCAATATATGAGGTCCAGTCGCACACCGCGGCCCCCATTCTCTGGCCATCCATTCTGGGTTCAGCAAAAAAACGTCCACTGAGGAACTCACCTCCGCGCCACAAATCCGATTGAAATAGTTTCCAATGTCTGGGCACATCCAGAAGGTGTGCAGGTATGCCGGTACAGTGCCTTGTGGCCACCTGGGGCAGTCTCGGGAAGAATTGGTGAATGTGGCTCTCCTGTCATTGGTCAGGTAGGTTCCGTGTAGATGTAGTGACATCGCTGGATGTCACCATGCTGTGGGTGCAGTACCGGCCCTAGAGGGGCACGGTGTGCGTTGAATAATAGTGTTGGATGGCACCACGCTGTAAGTGCAGTGCTGGCCCAACAGGACAGGGTGTGTGGGTGCCGGCCGAAGGATAAGGTTGTGTGAGGCCATGGCACTCTGGTTGACCCAGGAGGACACGTAACTGGTTAAGTTCACAGAGGGGCCCCAAGAGGGGGCTAGGGGGTCACGTGATTGGAACCCAGGTCCTTCCGGAGGATTCTGGAAGGTGGACGTGGCCAAGGGCGGAGCCGGCCACGCTACAAATAATATAAGCCGGGTCCCTAGAGGGACCAGGGTTGTTCATCCCAGGACGAAACCCTTCGTCTACGATCTCCGTTCAACGAGTCTCCAACACGTGGCCCAGGGCAGATGTTGTAGGCCCGGGTCCATAGTAACAGTTACGTGGTAACTATTGTAGTTCGCTGGGTGGTCACCACCTACGGTTGTTATTCTGTTAAGGGGAAGATACCCGTGTGTTAAAATTGAGTAAATGTGTTGCCTCCAAAGTCTACGTCTGCGACTCAGTTGAAACAATTTTAACTGACGGACGGACGCCATATCTGCTTCTATTTCTGATGAGGGATGTCCTGTCCCAGCTGCCTTTCTCATAAATTCTCAGTTTTGGATCTCACACGGTCTCCGCCACAGTCAATAAAGTGATATGCCTCCATAAAATAAATTGTTCTCTGTTAGTTCTTAAAGTTGCTTTTCACTCTACCTTGCGCTAGAAGAGGAAGTTAGCAGTGGACCACGTGGTGCTGCCACGGCTCATGTTGTGTGGATGATGCTCCTCGTGGAGGCTGCTGCTTAATCAGCATCGCACATTCGTAGATTTTAATTCTTAGAGCAGGACAATGTTCATCATCAGTCACGGTCAATCCACTGCTGGATGGATAAAGGCCTCTCCAAGTTGCTGCCACCTCTCAGGACACTGTCATGTAACAATTTACCCAGCACCTGCA